TCAGCAGGTGTCCACTTTAATTTAAAAGAAAGTCTGTAGCCAGCTGTGTCAGAAACTGGATTGCTGCATAGGGTACAGGTGTTGGGCTCTTTTTGGTTTTTATTTGTGTGTTTCTTACATTTTCCATCTTCACTACTTACCAGTTCAGTTAACTGTGCTTTATTGGCATGAAAATTGAAAAAAGAACAAACTTCAATTTAGGATTTAAATTTTAAGACGTATTGAGCAAAATTATTTATTAAGATGCTTCGATGGGCATGTGTTTGAGCGTGTGTGGATATGTCATGATAAATATTTATCACTACCCTGTTCAGCCACTGAACACTAATGTATGAGTGTTGTTATGAGTTGGGTGTGTATGGAGGTAAGATTGGCGAGCTCAGATTAACTAGTTAATATCACTAATATAACAGACATGTTACGCTTAGACAAGGCTGATTGTGTGGAGAAAGAACGGTCAGAAGACTAAGGGGAATGTTAAGAGTTGGGTCATAATGTTGATGTGGCAGGGTATAGTAAAGCAAATCAGCAGAAAAGGTTGAAGAAGAGGACTGTTGGAGGGGAATACAAGCTCAGGCAAAATCTTAATATTATGATGTTTATACTACTGTGCACAATAAATCTGCAGCTTTAAAAAAAGTGACAGATTGCATCCTGTATTGGTCCAATATGTGACAAGGGAACAGAGAATTTTATTTACAAAAAAATTGACAATCTCATATTTTTAGGGACAGGTGATTGATAACAGTTTTTTCTAAATATTTTAAGAATTCTGAGGTGTTGCCTTGCATTGTCGCTCTCTTAGTTCACTATGTTCCTGTCCTGCATCTTGTGGTCCAAAATCAAAATGGGTCCAGACGATCGACATACTGTTTTGCTTTGACATGAGCATTGTCTCTTGGACATCGATGTTTGGGTTTGCTTCTGCTGTGGCTATATTCAGTCCAGCTTGCAGCATCAAGGTGAAACTTACTGGTGCGTCTTTCTTCGTCTACTCTCACTCGTTTTAAGTTTTACGTGAAAAATGAATCTGCTTCTTTTAATCCTAATGACCCATCTTTAATTTTGTATTTTATGTTGTGTCCATGTTTCTGCTAACTGTTCCAGTTACTGATGAGTCCCAGTGTCAGTTCATAGCCTGTAGCCTTCAGTGGCCAAAGGTGTTCCAGCATCTGTCTGCCTGTGCAAGTCTCTCCTCTTCACACAGCTGTTGTTTATTTAGTTTGAATACGCTGTGAGGAGTGAGGCTGGCTCTGCCAAGGTCTCTGTTCTCTAGCCACAGTGGGCTGTTTACCAGCTTGATTTATTTACAGTGAGGAAAAAGGAAGCTAAATGTTTGGCCACGAGATTGAGGGGTCGGGATAATTCCCTTCCTGGTATGCTTGAGAATTACAAGTGAAGGTGTTTTTACAAGGAGGCCATTGTTGATGTTGGGGATGGTGGACAGGGCTACCTGTTTCATTAAGATGACCTGTAGCTCATGGCATCGAGAACAGTTAGCAAATCTGCTTTCTGTCAGTCATCATCAGTGAGTCAGTGTTAGTGTGACCCGACATCAGTCCAGTCACACACTGGGAAACAAGTGTTATAAACATAGGTTTTTATAGAGGTTCATGCTGATTATATTAATACAACACCACACCCAGAGACAAATCTAGGAGCATGTCTGTTAGTTTTGTTTTCTTTAGATGGTTTGCATCTTGTTTTTTCATTAAACTGACCTGAGGTAGAGCACATTTCAC